ATAGTAGGACTGTCAGAAGTGAAAAGAAGAGGCAAACAATGAATGCATCTAAACTCTGGAAATCACTTATACTATACAGAAAGAATAGACGAAACATATGCTGGAGTCTCTCTCTTCAATCCTCACCCCCCAGGGGGAGTGTAGTGGTCGACGTGATGTCGTGTATTGTCCGTCTCCAGAGATCTCTGTCTCTGGACATTTCTTTTAATTCATGCATAGGTCTTTGGCATATTCCTGTAATTTGATCTATCCATCTTGTTGGGGATCTTCCTCGTGATCTTCGGCCTTCTACCTTTCCTTGTATTATGAGTCTTTTCATGTTTTCTGTGTTTGCTCTCATAATATGCCCAAAATATTTTAATTGTTGGAGATGGACTTTACTAGAGAGTCGTTGGCTAACTTTTAGCTCTCTTAAAATTGAATTATTTGTTCTGCGGTCGGTCCAAGGAATTCGTAACATTCGTCTCCAACAGAACATTTCAGTGGCGTCTATTTTCTTCTCTCCGATTGTCTCAGAGTCCAAGATTCACATCCGTAGGTCAGTATTGGGAATATTAAGCAGTTGATCAACCTCATCTTTATCGCTCTTGAAATTTAACAGTCCTTCCATATTTTGGTCATTTTTGCTGTGGCAACTTTTGCCTGATCAGATCTACGTTTAATCTCTTCTTGTAATGACCCTGTGTTTATGATTAATGATCCCAGATATAAGTATGGGCTCACAACCTCGAGCCGGTCAATTGTGGTTATGTGTGGATGATTGTTGTGTAGTCTATCCACTATCATGATCTTTGTCTTTGATAATATGTTTAATTGCAGACCAAATATTAGACTTTCGTTTTCGATCAGTCGTATAAGTTCTATCAGCTCTGCTTGACTATTTGCAAGAAGGGCTGTGTCATCTGCGAAACGTAGGTTGTTTAGTTTATGACCATTTATTGAGATGCCCTTTTCCCATCCTTCAAGTGCTCTTCGCAATATATACTCCCCATATATGTTGAATAATTGTGGAGATAGTATACATCCTTGTCTAACACCCGTTCTGGATGAAATTCGTTCGAAAGTGTGTCAAGTACTTTAACTGATCCAGTAGTGTGTTCATATAGTTCGGTTATAAGCGTAATTAGATGTTGTGGTACGCCTACTTCTTTTAGTATTTGCCATAAGTGTCTCCACTTGACCCTGTCGAACGCTTTACGGTAATCTATAAAACAGATGTATAGTGGGATGCTGAATTCCCTAGATTTCTCGATTATCTGTCTTATATTCAGCAGGTGTTCTCGAGTGCCTCTACCTTTGGTAAATCCAGTTTGCTCTTGTGGAATTTCTCTTTGAAGGAATGTTTTCAGTCTCTCATTAATTATATGTAGGATATCTTTAAAAAATATCTCCCACCATACATTTCTACATATAAAAGCGTTTGTGATAGAGTAGCTTATATTATAATAGACCTAGATAATAAAACCAAGATCAAGGTTATGCTCCCACAACAACATATCAGGAAGAGGTAGTTGACATGTTCTGCGAAGATTTGATAACAGCATTAGAAGAAAATGATACAAAGTATACCATCATTATGGGAGATTTCAACGCAAAATTAGGTAAAAAATAAGAAAATACTGAAACCAAAATAGGGATGCATGAACTTGGAAAAAACAAAAATAATAACTAATACACCGAACATTAGAGAACGATCATAATTTTGAGGTGGTCAAAGAATTCAAATACCTAGGAGCCACAATTACCAGTGAAAACACAGGATAACGGGAGGTTGAAATACGAATACTGGCGGGGAATAAATCATTCTTTGCCATTCAACATCTAATGAGGTCAAAGCTTCTCTTAAGGCGTGCCAAAATCCAAATGTACAAAACCATAATACGACCAGCAGTGACATATGGAAGTGAAACATGGACATTGAGAAAGAAAGAAGTCAATAAGCTATTAGTATGGGAATGCAAAATCCTGCGAATTATATATGGTCCTTGCAGAGACAGCGTGAGAAATGAATGGAGGAGCAGATACAACAATGAAATAGAGACTCTCTACGGGAAAGGAAACATCGTAAGATACATAAAAGCCAATAGATTAAGATGGGCAGGCCACGTGGTACGGAGTGATGACGACAGACTGATTAGCAATGTGTTTTGGGAAAGACCAGATGGTAGAAGATCGACAGGAAGGCCTAAAAAAAGGTGGAAAGACGCAGTCAGGGAAGACCTGGAGAAGATGGAAGTAAGGCCATGGGAAATAATAGCACAGGATCGGAATCAATGGAAGGTAATAGTAAACGCGGCAAAATCTCACGAAGAGTTGTAAAAGCCAATGATGATGATGATGAACATTAGAGAAATAACGTTGAACGACTTAAATTTAGAAACAGTAAGCAAATACATCTACCTGGGATAGATAATGAAAGTTAACAAAGAAAATCAAACTGCCGAAATTACCAGAAGAATAAGGTTAGCGTAGGCAGGATTTTGAAAACTGAGTTGGATCTTGAAAAGCGCTAAAATAGAACAATATTAATTTGAAAACGTGAATTTACGATCAGTGTATCCTCCCTATACTCACGCATGGTTCACAGACGTGGACACTCATCAAGTCTAATATGGATAAAATAGTAAAAGCACAAAGAGCGATGGAAAGATCAATGCTCGGGGCGAGACTTACAGAAAAAAAACAAACAAATGGATAAGAAGCAAAACCAAAGTAAAAGACGCAGGAGCACATGCTGCCAAATTAAAAAGGAGCTTCGCAGGACACAATGCGCGACTGAAGGATAAGAGATGGAACCACGAAAGACAACAATGGAGACCATGGTTAGGATAGAGAAGCAGAGGAAGACCGCAAATGACATGGACGGATGATATTAAGAAAATCAAAGGACACAACTGGATGTAAGTGACGCAAAATAGAAGACACTGGATTTATTTGGGGGAGGCCTATGTCCAAAGTTGGATTACTTAAGGCTGAAGAAGGAGAAGAATCTTATTGTGCTGGGTTCCTTCCAGTCCTTTATTTTCAGATACTTTAAGTCTTTAAGCCACAGCTCGAGCACACAAAAATATAACTATAACATTTAATAAAATTGCAAACAGCATTGTCGTAATGTCAAGAGCCCCAAAGATGAACCACATACTTTGGAGATTAAACGTGAGTGAACTCAAATCGCTTAAAGAGAACACTTCACTTTATCAGAATTATCCAGTTACGACTAGAGTTTCTTACCCATACGTGTAAAAACGTACATAGTTGGCTGTCAAAATTCTTCTCGAACATCGTGATAGCCAATTACCTACATAGGGAGTTTAAAAATTAAAAACAACAGCCCTACTAATCCAGGGAAACTAGCAGACCAACCGCAAAGCTACAGATCAAGAGCATTCCTAAGGCATCACCTAATTCGCAATATTGCGAATTATTCAATATAATTATTCGTCTAGGCGTCTATAGCTAATACTGAAGATTGCGCAATGATTGAATGAAAGTTTGAGCAAGCCTAATTTTTATTTTTATTGTGTCGTATTTCTCCATTGCGTCATGTAGGACACGAAAACATTTCGCAGTTCGTATTATTGTTCAATATAAATGAAGGTTTGGATGAAAACCGCTATTCAATCTTATTTTACAATAAATATATTAGACAATGTTATTGTAGATCTAGGTTCTGCCTTAGATGTACATACAAACTTCTTGAATGACTTATTCAGAACATAATTAGTGGTATTATTATTGAAAGTTTAATGGGCGAGCTTTAGATCTGGCCATAATTACTACAACCTGTGAACAAACAACTGACATTAACATACTATATAGAGGCTGGTTTTCAACAGAAACTGAAAACAAATGCTCTAGTCCTGGAATTATCATCAGCCTTTGACAATGTCTGGAAAGAATGAATAATCGACAAGCTCTTAAAAGTGATTCCTTGCTAGACAATGTTGCGCTTAATACAAAATATGCTGAGTGGCCGAAATTTTCAAAAAACTCTCAACGGGGATAAGCAAACCAAAACTCATCAATAATGGGCTTCCACAAATGTAAGTAGTGGCTCCTCTTCTGTTCAACTTTTATATACCAATCCGATCTTCCAGAGACAGAGTCAAAGAAACTTTGCTATGCGGATGAAGACGCTGGACAAGCATTCCTCCAATGCAGAAGTCCTTAATAACGACTTTAGAATAATATATAATTATTTTTAGAAATGGATACTTGCTGAATAGCAACAAAACTTAATGGGTGACTTTCCATCTTAATAACAAAATGGCAAATGAAAATATAAACACAGAAATACCAACCTCAAACACAACAAGTATCCAAAACACTTGATCGTATCCTCTCGTTTCGTACATCTAGAAAATACTGCTGCCAAAATCAGAACTCGCAATAATATAATTCAAAAACTCAGTGTTACTATCTGTGGCGCCACTGCTTCATTACGCACTTCATCTATTGCCTTAGTACTCTCTGTGGCTGAATACTGTGCATTAGTTTGGACAAATCGTTGTCACACCAAAGTTATTAACAGACAATTGAATAATACAATGAGACTGATTTTTGGTATTATTAACTCGACACCCATACACTAGCTACCAGTGCTATGTAATGTGCTACCCCCTGATCTTCACAGAAATGAGGATCTACTGCGTGAATTTGGAGAAATTGAAAGACAAACCAGAATTACCAATCCAAGAATAATTCCCACAACTGCGGTGTACTAGACTAAAATCAAGAAAGCCATTCATACGCACAGCATTATCTTTTTGGACCACTTACTGCCTTTTCCTTTATGAAAACAGCTTACATTTGCGCAGGTGCATTTTTCTGACGTTAGGTTCAGGAAAATAAATAAAACTGCATTTTATTGCTTTTAAAACCAAAAGTAAATTGCATATAAAACAATTTTTAACAAAACTTATAAAAAATATAAAGAAAGTGATGAAATTTACAACATTTACAAAAAAAAGTGTATATTGTTCGAATAATATTTATCTATAAAGATGTCTTATCAGAGAAATTCCATATAAACTGAAAAATATTGTTTTTTATTGACGTTTCGTTCCGATTTACAATTTTTGTGGTATTTTGTACAAAACATGTAACATATTCATATCAAATTTACTCTGATTCGTTTTTTAAAGCATCTAGGGGAACAATCTTAAGCTCGCTGTCTTCGTCGCCGTGAAGTGTCATTCCAAACGATTCTAAAACACTTGATGATACGGTTCCTCTTTTGTGTAGTCCTGCAATAAATTTCTGATTTTCTGGATTGTTCTCACAAAAATTTCTGATAGCAAAGATACACCATTGTATGATAACTATTGGCTGTTAAGGAATGAATAAAGGACTTCCATAACGTACTCAATAAAGTTATAGTTTGATATCTAAACATAATTCACAGTTCATTAAAACTACATAGTAATAATAAGAACCATGTGAAAATGAGAAAAAAATAAAAATTGCCGTAAATACACACTAAACATTTTATTTGTACATTGCTTACACTCTAACGATGTAAATATCTTCAATATCTTTATATGAATCACGTTACATTTCATATGTTTTACGATTGTGTCATGGACAGGCTTTGTGGAATTTAGACATGAATTACTAGTAGCAACCTCTTTTAATACTCATCACGTTCGCGATACGTGGATTGTGTTGGACAAAACAAGAATCATAAAGACAAAAGAAGTAATGGTACTAATTGGTCTTTTAAAGAATGTACTTTAGAGCCATTATTTGTACCCTTTGGCATTTTTCTTCTCTTTTTGGAATTTGTTCTTTGACACAATTGGATTATTTAATCAATGTGCCCGACAAAAATAATCTTTGTTGTCGATGTTATATCCAATGTTGGTTCGTGTTTTAAGTTTTCGGGATGTTTAATGCCGTAGTATTCTACAAACTTTACTTGCAACTACAATGTTTTAGAAGAATATCGCAGTATTTACTATAGCAGTAGTGACATTACATACATGTTTTACACAAAAATAAATAATATGCAAACTTTACGCATAAAATAACTAAAAATTTTGGTTTAAATAACTCTTAAATTCCTGATTCTCGTAAATTTCATGATTTTGAATTACTATGGGCTTACATGTTAAGCTCTACATTTGAAATCCATTCTGTAAATACAGTCAGAGCCCATTGCATTATATTTCTAACTGTGCTATTAAATTTGCCGTGGACTAAGATGACCAGATCATCCGCATAGCCAGGACATGATGCCTATCGTTGCTGAGTCTAGCTATCAGACAAATGGTCAAACAATTTTAAGGTAGAATTTAGGATGTTGGAAGTCAGTCCAACGAAATACACTGTAATCAGCTTAGTATTCACAGAAAATATAACACAATAACTTATTCTATTTTTTAGTTAACATGTAACAATAAACATGTTAACTAGTAAGAGAATAAACAATATGAAGGTAGCGACTTGCGTGTGTATTCTATATTTTACCACACTATTCTTTTTCTTCTTTGAGTATCGTGCATAAGTTTTAGGTGTGGGTAGCTTCCATGACGATATGCCGATATGTAATAATTCAACTGCTGATAAGCGAGTCCATTTACAAAGGTTTCGGAGCCATGGGTATTTCTTACTACCAATTCCTCTTTTCGTTGAGTATCAACTGCATTATCCTGTATCTGCTTATCTTATTATATGCCCCAGATTACCACACTATATAGATACATATGTCAGTACCAATGTAAACAGTGGATCCATTCTGAATATATCAAACAACAAGTAGCAAAGACTAGATCAGTATACATTAAGACGAACTAGAAGTAGGGACCTCCGTCTAAAAACAAAATGTCAGATACTTCAATGCAAGACAATTTCGGTTTTGCTAAAAGAAGTGAAAGCTTGGACTTTGCCGGAGGCGTCTACGAATAAGCTGAAAGATTTTCAGATGCGGTGCTATAGACGAATAATGAAGATCTAATGGGTAAATCGAGTGACGAATTCTGAATTTCTCTGCAGAAAGGGAAAAGAATGTGAAATATCACAATAAAAAAAAATGAAAATTAGAGTACTTTGGATGTATGATAAATAACGAGAGATATGGTTCACTTCAGTTGGTTATCTCATGAGGATGACTTATTTTCTGGCTCCAAAACTTAATGGATTATGTCCATATTAAACTTGGCGCACTACGATGATCATAGGATTGTTTCAAATACCTGTAAACAAGATCAAAATTGTCATGATAATCCCACTATCCGTAAAGGATGTAGACCACAAGAGGAATAATATGAAGCTAGTAAAAATACCGGCCAAAACACAATCCACAAATCCACAGGGCTTAAACTTTGAAATATTTTCACCATAAGAATGGTGTGATATAGAAAAACAGGTGGATCACTATACAAATAGATGCTAAGATTTATAATGACGAAAAATCAAAAATATTTCTAGACGGAGTGTAGCCAAAAAATGTTTAATGACTTCTTATATGCAAACATGAACCATCATTTGAAGATACCAGATGAAACTACCGCTGTATGCAATCTTATGAGCACATCAAAGGTCGTTGTTGTTGTTGTTTGTTTGTGTTTTAAATGACTGCGGACACTAAATCCATTCGCCAATCTTACAATTTGAGGTGTAGTGTGTGTGTGTAGAGTAATTGTCTTGATACTTAGCAAAGTCGACGTCATTGTCTTTGCTAAGGGACGCTAATTGTATCCGAACGTCTGCGGTCCCTCCGGTGTTGTACCGATCACACAAGGATAGAAATTATTTTCATTTATTAATTTTTTTAATACACGAAAATTTCCACCCCAGGTGGGATTCGAACTCACGACCTTTAGGTTTAAAGGCAGGCGCTCTTACCACTGAGCCACAGAGGGGGTTCATCAAAGGTCTATGCCTGATTTATTTTGCCAGAAAACCAAAAACTTTAATGGTATCTGGTATGTGAACAGCTGCTGAAGCCAATTATGAACCACAACACATCTACTAAGATGTTAATGACTGTGATGATGATGTGAACATAATTCACGGAGACGATACAAAATACGATACATGAAGTATTTCTGCGAAAAACTAGCACTTCAGGAAGTTTTAGGGTAAAAATCGACGAAGGAGCCAACACTGAATAAACAAAATTAATTATATGAATATCAATATAAAAAAAAATATTTAAAGGAATCAGGAAACAGCATAATATATCGGTTTCAATTTCAAAGACTAGATGATAATATGCATAGTAGCATAAATGAGTAAACTTTCCTATAAAGATAATATTCCTCCAATGTACCTGTAGTATCAGTGAAAATTGATTGAGAAAATATTAATCAGATCATTTTTTCAACAGATGAGCATAAAACAAACATTTAATCATTTACTCATTACCAATTAAAGAAGGCTGTTGAGAGGCAAAAAATATGAATTACTTCAAATTATACTGGAAGGAAAAGTACAGGGCAAAAGATAAGTAGGAAAACCCCAGAAATCATGGCTGAAAGAGCCGAGGAGATGGTTCGACCGCCAATCCGCAGAAATCTTTCGCGCAGCAGTTTCCAAAACCACAATTGCAATTTGGATCGCCAACCTTCGAAAGGACAGCGCCATGAGCAGAATTAAAGAAAATGGTAGTTTACAAATCATCATCATTATAAAGGACTTTCCATTCAAGTACATTCCTGCAAGAGTGATTACTACTCTTACTTAGAGCTCTTTGATTCGCTTATTGCGATGAATCACTTCGTATTCTTGTGTATTATTAAAGTTTGTTGTATGAATTGGCTTTCGTTACAATTTTCTTCAACTCATTTTAATCTGCGCATAACCCCCCCCCCCCCCCCAGTTTCTCACTTTTGGGATTTTGATATCTCTCATGACCTGGTCCTTCCATCTCTCTCTAGGTCGTCCCCTTGGCATTTCAGTTTCTGCCTTCCATCTGACGACCTTTTTAATGAGTAGGTCGTTTTTTCTTCTTTTTAAGTGTCCCAGCCATCTCAATATCTGCGTTTTAATAAATTTAACTATATCTTATCCATTTATAATGTCTATTATTTTATGGCTCATTCTTCTATTTCTACATTGTCCATCCTTATCGGGTACATAATTCATCTGAAGATTTTCTTTTCGAATATTATTATTATTTCTTCATCTTTATGTGTGAGGCACATTGTCTCACACAAAATCTGCAATTGATAGGTGTGGAAAATAAAAGAATTAAATACCAACCAGTGGCAACTGTCGAACAAAACACTGAACCAAAAATCCTGGCACCATGATTCTACGAACGACAGGCCAGAAAGCTGGCATATTGAGAAAAGTTAAGGCATAATCACAAAATTAATGACATGTACTCCAATTAAAAACACTAATATCGTAACTTGTCGCCCCAAATACCTAAAATTTCATAAAAATTCGAATACACTTGGAATTCACGAAAACACGTTAAGAAAGTAAAGCTTCCAGCTTTGGTGAGAAGTGAAAAATGATTAAAAGAGCTTTAGTAAAATAAAACAAACCAAACTAAAACTATTAAAAGAACCCAATTTTTTTTGTGTCAATGGAAAAAAGTACATCGCAAACACACCATATGTTGATAATGTCTAGAAGAAAGGTACGCCTTCCAATAAGGAAAAGGACAATCAAAACTCCTGTATTCTACATCGATTTGAAAATAAAATTGAAAGTCTACATTGTAGAATTATTAACCTTAACAGATAAAACAAAAACTAGGTACGGTACCAAAAATTCACAGTGCACTTCCAAATATGAAAAGCATTGGCAAACAATTTCATCAAAGAGACGTCAAAACTTTTGAAGAAAACAGTATGCCGATTTGGAGAACAAATAATGAAACTTATATACACCTGTAATGATATATTGGTTGCGAGGCTTATAGGTTATCAAATAGTCTTGAATTATTTCTTCTTCACATCTGTTAGTGCATTGCACTTTTTATATTTTCTGACATATCTTAGCATGGTTGATATGAATTTCAAATATTCAGATATTTTCCTATATTTTTCAAGCATTATTAGAATATTTGTTTTGGAATTTAATAAAAGGATACAAGGATTATTAGCATCCATATTACAGCAATCTAAAATAACTGGAATTATCTCTGCTTCACGTGCCTAAAACAAAAATAATAATTCTGTAAGTGTTATCAAAATAACTCAAATGTGACCTATTTAAATACTTATAAGAATCCAGAAAATTGCGTCAGAAATCAGATAGATTACATCATAATTGATCATAAATATCGAAATATACAGTACAAAACGGTGGAAAATCATATTTCAGTATAGAAGTCGCCTCAAAGCATACCTTAAGTGTAACCAAATTTAAAACTAAGTTAAAGATAGTCATAAAAATAAGAGAGAACAAAGATCAGACACGACCTTACTAAAAGAAATATAATTTCCAAGCTATGTCAGTAGTTAATATTAAAGGAGAGTTTGCACATGTAAATTTATTTCTAATAACTGAAAAACAGGTAAATTGATTGTCAAAAGAGAGAAGATAGATACATCTAACAATTTTGCTCTCTATTTATTATTTTTATTGGGATTAACCACAATTTTAGTTTCTAATACATTTATTTTGATTTTTTGATTTCCACTTCAGAAATCGTTCCCAAACAACTCAACCTCAATATTGTACATTAGAACAAGCCAGAAGTGGCTTGTTGCGTGTTGACAAAATTATATATTATTTTACATAATTAATTTCTCCTCTGACCATCAAGCGGAAGAGATCGATTAGGAATAAGCATGACTAAAAGCCTATTCTACCTGTCTGAAGAAACTTTCCTTTCTATTTAAGCGCAAATGACCAGCCACTTCTCGACATGTATAAACATCAAAACACTTATCTGAAATATAATTATTTGCTTGTAATAATAATTATATTGCTGCAATTTTTTTCTAGGGATGTATGGTTCTCTTAAAATAAAATAAAACTAAACTATATAAGAATCAATGATAAGTCTTAAGATATACATTACACTATTTATTTTTTTTAACAGGTTAAGCTTCAATGTTCAAGAAATGAAAATATTCTTGGATCTTACGATGTGGATGGGACTGGAAGGTACAATATATGCCCTTGATTCAATTGTATTAGTCAAATAATAGAATATATCAAAATGAAATGTGTTCCTTTTTGACTAAAAATTGATTCCAGATTTTGTCATTTTGGAGAAAATATCGAAGGAGGCAGATTATGCCATATTCAGTCATTACTCTTTCTGATACAAGAAAAATTTCAACACACCAAAAGTCCTGGAGATACCTTGGCAGACTAAATTTTAAACAGTATATTCCAGGAAAATAACATAAATATGGTATTAAGCTTTCTAAACTTTGTGATTAAAGTGGTTATATATACATATATAAAATTAAAAGAATAATTAAATTTCTTTAAGAAATAATTCTAAAAGAATGATTTAATTGAAGTTTATAATTCAAATAAATAAATAATATTTTTTAATCCGATTGCTTGTCCCGAATGAGAAACCTAATGGTACTTGTAAAATTGTTCTGTGATAATAAATAAAGAAAATATAGCCTCGGCACTCCTGAACAGTTCACAAAATTTTGTCTTGGCACCATCCAGGGGTACTCGTGTCCACCCAATTGTGTATAAATGGCACTTAACCTGATAATTTATTATTATTGTTATATGCTTTTGGGGTTAACCCATTTATGGTGTTTTCAGTTCCTAGTTCATTCGATTGTGCATTGCTATGAAAAATATGATGAGATATAGTAGAAAAAAAATCTGTCATAAGAAAAAATATAATTTCCTCGAGTTTATTAAGTATCAACCTGTTTTTTTTTAGAAAGATTATGAAGTTGATTTAAGTTATTAGTTAAAATATTTTCAAATCGATATAATTAGAAAAACATATACAAAGATACACTAAATTTAAATAAATTAAAACTTACCAAATTTTGCATTTCATTATTTTTCCAGCACAAATTTCCAATCAGCTGAATTAAATCGGCCTTCAGTCCAAACACAGGATTCTCAGTTTCATCTCCTTGACTATAAGATAACTTCTGTACAGGTTTAAACATATTATCACCTTCTTTACCTAATTTGTGAAAATTAATCAGTAATGCTGCTGCTGTTACTAAAATATTTTTATTTTGTTGTAATTTGACAATATATTCATCTATACTAGAACAAGAGGATATAATTGACAAAAGTAACGATACTATTCTAACTTCCTGTTGGGCAGTGTCTGTGCTTATTTTAAAAAATATATCTGGACTCTTTAAAAAGCCACTTACGATTACATCAATTCCTGAATCAGGTAAGAAATATTGTATTTTTTTAATCTGTTGATACCTTAATGTTTCTAATATAATTATTTTATGTCTAATTTCAAAACTGTTATATAATTCCCAGCAAATGTTAGAACTAATATATTTTTCAAAAAAGAATAAGACATATTCAATTTCACTATTCTTTTCATCTAATTGAAACATACACTTGATTGAAATTACATCTGGTGGTACTACTAATGCTGAATTATAAATGAGTGCTGCACTTTCATACAAACACCACTTGTTTTCTATTATTTTACTAAATACATCAGAAAAATTTGCATGTACTTTTCTAGTTACTTCAGAATTTGATGATATTAAGTTTATTAAAAACTGTAATATGATTTTTAGGCATAAATGGTCTTCATATAATTTTCCAACATAAGATTTTGTAAATACTAAAATGTTGGTCTCTTCAGCAACATAATCTTGTGTTGTTTTGTTTGTTACACAATTTCTTAAACACCTATAGAGTTCCATAACTAACTTTTGAGCTGCTTCAGTTTGCTCTGAATTCATGTATAAATGTTTTTCCAACAATTTTATGGCACCATTGCTAGCTTGGATCCTAAAAATATAAAAATTGATGAGATACTGACATATACGTATGGTGTTTTGGAACAACCATCTAACCCACATTTGTTTACAAATGAGGTTAGACAATTCAAACTGTCCATCATAATGCATACTACATCAAGCAAAAATGATATAAGTCATATCCATACTCATGGAGGCGTGTGTGAACTAAGTTCTAAACAACTTTCATCAAATAATATGAAAAACAGAAATTTGTAAAAATAGTCTAACCCATGTTTTCTTTAAAAAATATGTGGGTTAGATGCTTGTTGCAAATCTTTGTAAGGGTCTTTTCATTGTGTGCACTATATGCAAAATATTAAATTGAACAAATCTTTATTTTCACTTATTTAAAGACAAGAAATTTACTATTACACTAATATTACAATTTTATTTAAGTAAATAAATGAAATTGCACCAAACTAGAGAATTTATCTTTAATGGTAAAATACGAAAGTATATTATTTAAAACTGTGAATTTTCTGTTGTCAGCTCGGCAATTGATTAAAGAAATTTTTAAATTTCTTTTATCACCAAAAAGGTAACATAATATGTTTTGTGATTACTCGAATGTTGGTGCCATAAATGCAGACAAAAAATTCGAAACGAAACCAGTTGTTCATTATATAAAACATTGGAACTGTTGCTTGATAGTCAAAATTCTGATCAGCAAAATATTGTATGCCTTTTTAACAAAAGACTTTGATATTTCAACATATTGTTTTAAACAAGTGCGGCAGGTTGTTATTATTTAGGTTGTTGTTGTAATATATTAAAGCAAAATATCACAAACTTGGTGTTCTTACTTCAGTGATTATAATTTTTATTATTCGAGGTACATATAAACTTATTTTGACTTGAAATTTCACAGAAGATATATTTTTATTAATAAACCTTTTATTTAATATTAACAGCAAACAGCAATTAAACTAATTTGGACCTATGATAGCTGCCCATATTATAATTCTTGCACATACAGAAATATAAATATATTAAGTTTAAAATTAGCTATGTTAGTGGGGTAGTGGGATTAGATGTTTTTTGCTAACTGCACTATAACACAAAATTTATTTTTTATAGCAGCTGTAAAAATGTATAAAAAAAGCTTTGTAAATGTAGCGTTTTTACTTCGTAATAATATATTAAAAGTTGATGTTTTAAGTGAGTCTAATACTCTTATTTTATTTTAGAGGATGGATATTTCAAGAGGATATTAGCGAACCTTAGGATTCAAAAATTTCAACAAACTTTGATCACTGATGCTATGAAGATTTTGAACAAGATTTGAAAGCAATTGGGTTCAATCCTGATTTCGAGATTTATCAAGATCAAATCGAGTAGGAATTTAATCAGTAACATTTACTTACTATTATTAATGAATCAATCAATCAATAATTATTACAATCGAATTTGAAGTTTTTTTTTCTATGTATTTACCATTTCTGAGGGATAGACGGTTATTGCAAAATGACCAACTTAAATTTTTACAATTTTGCAAAAAACCGTCTAAGCCGCTTTGAGATATTTTTGCAATAAACTGGTTTTACTTATTTTGTTTTTTTTTTTACGTTTTTTTAGGTAGCCTGTAATTATTGAAATATAAAAATGTAAAAATAAAGCCTTATTTTCTATCAGTGAATTTTTTAAAGTAGGTAGACACAATATGCTCATTTACGCTTAAACTATTATTGGAGAACACCATCCAAATATGATACTTATTTATTATTAAAGGCTATCAATTAATCATCAGGGATTATACAATGTTGTTACCACAAAAATTAACTGTTTGATGAATCCCTTATGTTGATCAAACTTTATACTTTCAACATGATTAAATCGGAATATAAAGTTTATTTTAAGCTGAAATTGGTGGAAAACATTCTAACCTATTTGTATTTTTCATTTTCATTCTCTAGGTTTCATATTTATAAAGCAAAACAGACCAAATGTAACACTTTAATACTATTAGACTCATGTTCAGTGGGAGACCCCTAATTATTGCATCTTTTACATGAAAACTCAATTCTAGCTGAGATTGTTTTATCACTCTTAAGTACATATATTGTTGTGAAATTTTAGTACTGATTGTTCAATATTAACTTTTCCATTGTGCATTTCACTTGCTTTATTCTGATGTTAAACTCTTTTCATTGCATTCATTTCCACTATTATTCAATAATAATTCAGAGTAGACATCAAAATTTATCTCTCCTGATTCATCTTAACTCTATTAATCTAATTGTAGTAGAGATTTGTTTGTAAAGATACAAAACCAATAAATAAACGAACTATAGGAAAATATTTCTCAGAATCAGAAAATATGGCACTCAGAAGTGACAATAATCATATGAATAAAGAAAAGTATAATTGTATTGTTCTGGACTTCATGGTGAGATGATGAATCAAGAAGCTAGCAGTAGCAGATTACTGAAAACTAAATATGCCATTTTCATCATGACCACATAAGGAAAGATAATAGACCATTTAATTTCAATCTCCAAAGTACCTATTTTTTATATTTGATTTTGAGTGTTACAATAATCTAGATCTAGAAGTATAGTTTCTGATATTTGTCAGAACAATAATCTTTACAAACTATTTAAACATAAAAACACAAGAGAGTAAGTCTCTGTCTTCTCGAATTAACTAACTCTGAAATAACTGTTAATGAAGATTGGATTCAGTAGATTCGCCTTATCACTTTGAGCTATACAGAGAACTTTAGTTACTTTAACAAATAGTTTTTTTTCCCTTTATATTACAAAAAAAGTAGATGTAGCACAACCCTGAATAGTATAATAATTTAATGAGATATTCCTAAACAGAACTATAAAAACATGGAAAATAATGTGGTTGCACATATTTATGACCTTACCTATAAAGCGATCCGTTTGACTTAGATATAAAAGTTTCTTTTATATGATCTAGAAAATGTTCTAGGTAATTGGATGTAATAACAGGTTCTATATTCTCTGTAACATCAATAAACTTGATGTCATCTTGTGTGTAATACTTAAAATGAAACTCTGCCATTTTCATATCTTAATTTTTAATACAGTGTTACATTTGAATTAGTACAGATTATTTGTAAACACATGACAAAATTAAAATTTGCCAAAAATAAAAACAATATCTCAACAAACTGTGCTATACTAGGTTATTTTTTTCTTCTCTTAAACGTCGTTAACCATAGGACTTTTCATCAAAAACTAATGTCAACCATTTTTTTCGAACAGACATTTTGTTTTTGTAAACAATCAGGTTACGTTAGTAATATAAATAAAAATAATCATGGTATACTCCATTCGCTTAGCTCGGGCATATTTTGACACATTCATTGTCGGAAACCTACTACACGACAATTCCTACTTCTTAGTACTAATAGCTAAGTATACTGCTATTGCAGACTTCTTTCTTTGAAAAAAAGAAGAATTGTTCGAAATAGGGGAAGTGTATACTAAACCCATCAAATTTTGGGTAGTATATATTTAAAAAATATATTTTAGTTGTCATAATTTACCATAACTATTTATTAAATGGTGCAGATAAATAAATATTAATTGTCGGTCATTCACAAAGTTCTATTTTATTTACTATTTAGTTTGTTTACTCTTAATATTGGCTATGAGTACGTGTGCGTGGTTGTATAGTAATTTCCAGCCACTTTTAGTCTGTCAAAAAGTAACTACCTTCGCAAAAAAATAATTACTAAATTCATTAGACAGTTCGGACTGAGAATAGCGAACCGAGTATACATATTGTACCATGAAAAATTAGTAGTTTCTATTTTTTAATAATTTCTTTATAAATTTATAAACCGTATGACGTAAAATATATATTACTGTCATTGTCAAATTCTCTGTCTGTACGAAAAACAGGGCGGCTGATGAAAAGTCCATGCAGCATATATTAACTTGTAAAATGATTCTACAGTCCAGCTCACTAGAAAATATGAATTTATTTAATCTTTTTCTTTACTTAATATACTTAAACAAATACATTTAAATGCGAGAAAAATAATTTTTAAATAGTTTTAGAAAATTTTTTCTTCTTATTAGTTTTTTATCACTGGAATGGTAAAGAATACAAAGAAGAATGTCAAAGATTTGTGGTTGAAAAGAAATTTAAATCAGCTGTCATCTTTATTTGAAGTTGTCAATTGTCATTAGTCATTACAACATCAGTTTTCAATTTTGTATACTGTTACTTGCAGTTTTGAGTGAAGTTTTCATTGCTATTACAATTTTCATTTCTTATAAGTTTTATAAATACTGTTAATCGTTAACACAGTTTCATTTACAAAGTATGTAGTTAAATACAATTTACCGAAATTTCATTTTTATTTATAGTCTTTGAGTAAATTGTAACCGCTTTGTCATCTACCTAACCTCTTACATTACTTTTAGATGTTTCTTACAAGAAGCGAGTACGATAGAGGAGTAAATACCTTTTCACCCGAAGGAAGATTGTTTCAAGTAGAATATGCCATAGAAGCAATTAAGTTAGGATCTACTGCTATTGGAATATGTACCAGTGGTGGAGTAGTGCTTGCTGTAGAAAAACGTATTACTTCCCCCTTAATGGAACCTACTACGATTGAGAAAATTGTAGAAGTTGACAAACATATTGGATGTGCCGTTTCAGGACTTATGGCAGATTCAAGGACTATGATAGATAGGTAATTCAAGTGTATTAATTTCAAACATTACTTACTATCAAGACATTAATTATCTAATATTATCCATGATTTCACGATGATTTAAATTGTCTGTATATAATGATATACTAAGTAACATTAGATATTTAAAATTTTCCTAATTTATAGAAATACAATAATCAAAAGTATGTGACTAGTTTGGATATATGGAAAACATATGTAACAAGAGATTTATCATATTTTATTAGTTATTTAGTTGTTCCACTCTCTCTCTCTCCCTCTCTCTAACTCATCAGTCTTATATAACCCTTTACTGATCCAAGTCATATTTCTCTATATTAAAGTCAGTTTTTCCATCTCTCTTAAATTTAACCATGCCATTCAACTACCCACTTGTGGAGCATTTCTAATATCATACCTCTTCTGTCTGTCTGTCTACTTATCTAATTCATTCTTTTAATAATCACTAATATTTGTTGAATGTTTTAAATATATCAATGTTTTGCTTTAGTTTATTTGTGTTGTATTTTCTGCATAGTGCTGGGTATATTCAAGGGTTCTTTGTTTCTTTACTTTGCTTTTTTGAAAACCATGATTTAAATTCAATAATAATAATACAAGGCATTATTGCTGCAAGGCATAATGTACATTTTTAGGTAAATCAGTTTCAATAACCTAAAAGTATGTAGTCAAGTATTCTAGGAATGAAGTATTTATTCAAACACTTTAATTTAATTTGAACAGTTTAATAACTCTTCTTAGAGGAGACTTCCGCTTATCATGAAATGTAAAATCAAGCGCCACAATGGAATTCAAAGGAAGCAGATGTCATGGCTCAATAACATTGAAATTGGACAGGAATGTAAAGTGCCGAACAACTTGTAAATTAGCTGAAGACTGTGAACAACTTATCAATGTAATTGCCAATGTTAGGGGGTCCTAATCTAATAATAATATTGATCTGAGAGGATCTGCACAATTTATTGTTACTTTCTTGTTTTACCAGAATTGCAGATTGTATACACAATATACCAAATATACACAATTGTATGCCAAAATAAATAAATAAAAACATACTTACAATCTACAAAACAACAATTTGGATACTATTGACAAGTAAACAATAGAAACCAGATGTAAAATAGAAATTGATGGCATCAGTATTGAATAAGTAATGGAAATAAAATATCTGAGAATTACACTGTTAGATTGGCAAGATGCCTTAATAATACTATATGGTGAAACAGACACATTAATACTCAGATAAAGTAAAGAACATAGATAAATAATATGATATTAGAAATAGATAGGCAAGTCCATGTATAAATTTCGTTCATTAGGGCCCCTTGCGGCTGGGGTCATTACTAATCATCTTTTGGCGGGAAATTCAAATGGACACCCCTTACATACATACCCTTTAGCGCCTCGTGCGGGCTATTTCGTTACTAATTAAAATTTACTGGAAAATATCTTACTATTTTCCGATGAAATAATCTCACATATATTACTGAAAAATAAAAGGATATATAAAACATGCACAATTTTTCTAGATATACAAATATTTATTTGTTGTTTAAGATAAAACAGTTATAAACTAGTGACATAATATTTATGACACATATTTTCAAAAACAAATGTTAAATACTATTATTGTTTGCTTCCTGACAACTTACTATTACCATCCTTTTTGTATTTTTTCCATGATTTGTACACAACCGAACAATACAATAATTCACCATGTTTAGTTTTTTTACTAGCACAACACAAAAATTCTTTGCTACAATAGGTAACTCAAAGTCAAACTTTAAAAACTAAGTTACCAACTTGAATTAAAATTACTAAGAATAAATGCAAACGAAAGTTAAAGATAATAAAATAAAATTGAAAACTTGTAAACAAATGGAAGATCTGTTATTACTTTTGACAGAATTGACAGTGCGGAATTAAGCTTCGTTTGATTATTTTATTGACACCCCAAGACTATGTTAAAATAAATGATTGGTTAAAGTCTTCGTGAGAAAGATAGGCTGTCATTTCTCTTTATTAACTGTTTGGGGTCAAAGTGATGGGGGAATGTTTCAAGGTCATGCATATAAGTTTCCGGGGCATGGTTAAGAATTTATAAAGCCAGTGTAAGACCAATAATGACATATACCTCAGAAACAAGACCCAACACAGCCACAATGCAAAGGCTACTATAGTGAAATTCATTAAGCGATGCAGGGTAGATGTAAACATTAAATCGTGTCCGAACCTGTATGAGCTGCTGACAACGTCGGCAGACGAAATAAAGATGGACATTTCTGTTAGTTTTTAAATATTTTTGAAGAACTGTTACTTGCATTTATGCATAAAATATTCATTAATTTTATAAATCGGATTATTTTTTCATTTACTATGTATTCAGTGATTAAAATTACTATGCAATAAACACTAATAGTGGAGAAAATAAAAAAAATTCATAAAGTGTCATAATTATACTGTTACTTATCGGAACGAGAAGACTCATTATGGACAATTATCTGTTAAATTTATGGTTGTTTATATGCACCGCATCACTTAATGAAATAAACTTTAGAAATGGCAGAGATAAGAGTACTGAGAAGAATTACAGGAAATACAATGGGAGATCGAAACAGAAGTGAAGACAGGAAAAAATGTAACACACAGTATATAAATGGATGGACACGAAATAGAAAAAAGAATGGAGTAACCGCATACTGAGAATGGAGGAGATCCGTGTTGTCAAAATAGCAAGAGATAAGTCACCAATCGGCAAAAGAAGTATCAAACCACTGCACAAAAGGGGGAGTGACAACCTTTCATATAGGTATTGATCTGCCAATGAACAAGCATAATTGTTTATAGAGATGAAGAAGAAGAAAAGATAGAATTTATAACGCAATTGGTGTTTAGACATAAATTTTATTTTGTTAAGCTTAGGTACTTGTGTAGTAAAAGACAAGGCAAGCCTGTCATGATTGATGAACGGCTGTCAAATGATAATTTCGCTCTCTTGTCATGCAGCAATAAATAGGTAAACACGTCTCCCTAATTAATTAAAGTTTTTTATATTTGTAATAATAAATGGTACAAGCAGGAATATGGTAAATCATCAATGATTAGCCAGAAGTTCATACATATTTAGTTTTTGGTCCAATTCGAGCGGATGGAATGAATATCTGAAGTAAAAACAGCGAAAATTGTCAAATAAAAATAAAAGGTTAAACACGACATTCAGTGCCAGCCCAGCCGATGTCAGTTTGAAAGGTTTATAAGGTTTATATATTATATATTTATAACGTTACGACATTCAGTGCAGAAGCCGATGTCAATTTGAAAAGGTTAAGGTTACGACATTCAGTGCCAAGGAAGCCAATGTTGATTTGAGGTTATAAAACCATATAAGGTAAGTGACTTTGGTTCATTGTATTTTTCATCTGTGCAACAATGGCTGAGCAAGAGTTAAAGAGTTTAAAATCAAAAAGGGGAGTAGTTAAAGGGAAACTTACAAGGTTTAAGAATTATTTTGATAATATTGATAAGGATTATGTGTCTAAAAAGTTAATCACAGAACTAGAGTTAAGGTTAAGCAAGATTTCACCCTTGTATGAAGATTTTCATGAGATTCAAGAAAAAATTGATGAAATAGAGCAGAGTAATGATGATATAAATGAAATTAACACTTTTGAGACTTCCTATTTCGAACTTGTTAGTGATATGCAAACACTTTGCGATAATTTTAAAATAGAAAATAATACTGAGAATGCATCAGTTCATAGTGATTCAAATCAAGGGATTAATAGTAATAGTTTTCAGGCCTTGGTTAAGTTACCACCTATAAAACTGCCTAGTTTTAATGGCCATTATGACTCATGGCTCGAATATAAAGATTGTTTTTTGGCATTGGTTCATAATAATGAATCTTTAACAGATATTCAGAGATTTTATTATTTAAGATCTTCTCTTGAAATGGATCCTCAGCAAATAATAAAATCTATAGAGGTTTCGTCAACAAATTATAAAATAGCTTGGCAGATGTTGACAGAGCGTTATGAGAATAAAAAACTTATTATTCACAACCATTTAAAAGCAATTTTTGATCATCCTAGTATTAATAACGAGTCTTATGTTGAACTAAGAAATTTATTTGATAATGTCACTAAACATTTACGGTCATTAAATAGTTTAGGCTTAGATACAACAAGTTGGGATAGTATAATAATATTTATAATGTGTTCTAAATTTGATGCTACCACCAGAAGGGAATGGGAATGTTTTAAACATGAAAATGATTTACCCAGTATGGGCGATTTAAATAGATTTTTAAAAGAGAAATGTGAAATGTTGGAGATGCTTCAAGTATCTTCCGGTTATACAAATAATAAAGCAAAGGTTCGCAATGTAAGTTCTCGAAGTTTTGCTTCTATTGAAGGATATTCCAATGTCAAATGTTACTTTTGTCAAAAAGATCATCCCATATATAAGTGCGATGTATTTCTAAAATTAAATGTAAATGACAGAATCTCGGCTGCTAAAAGATTAAAGTTGTGTTTAAATTGTTTAAGGAATTCACATCCAACATGGAAATGCAAGCTACAAAAATGTATAAAATGTCAAAAGTTGCATAATTCATTATTGCATTTAAATCATCACATCACAAATAATGTTTCTAGAAATATGGCTACTACTGATTCAATTGATCCGAATCAACATAAAATAGAATCTAATCAAAACATCGAGAACTGTATTGAACGCTCAGACAGCGGTCAGCGTCATCTAAGTTCTGCTCTTCACGTTTCCAACCGCCTTGTCAGCTCTCATGAGATTTCTGAGGTTTTATTATCGACGGTCTTAATTCGCATTGTAAATGGAAATAAATCAATTGTTTGCCGTGGATTACTGGACAGCGGTTCTCAAAGTAATTTTGTTAGTGAGAAAATTTGTAAATTTTTAGATTTAAAATTTCGAAGAGTAGAACATTTGGTCAAGGGTGTTGGAGAGGCGCTAGCAAAAATTAATAATGAAGCTATTGTCACGCTAAGTTCTTGCGAAGGAGATTTTAGTATGGAGACTCATTGTTTGGTTATTCCCAATATTACGGGAAAGTTACCGATTAGGTCTTTTAATAAAAATGATTTAAAAATTCCCTTAGGTTTAAAGTTGGCAGATCCAGATTTTAATGTGTCTAATGATATAGATTTATTGCTAGGATCGAGTATATTTTGGTCTGTTTTGTTATCAGGTAGAAAAACTTTGGGTCCAAATATGCCAATTTTGCAAAATACAGAATTTGGTTGGATAATTGCTGGGAATTTATATCTTAATTCGTTAGAGCCTAAAAATTCTCTTACATTTTTTAATGTGAATACTTATACTAATAATGATTCAATAAATAATCAAGTAATAAAGTTCTGGGAAGTTGAAGAATTGGGTTCGCAAAAGAAAATATATTCAAACGAAGAAATGTTTTGCGAAAATTATTTTAAGGAAACTGTTAAAAAGGATTCTTCAGGAAGATATATAGTTAAAATCCCATTTAAGAATACAATAAATGAATTAGGGGATTCTAAAACTATGGCATTGCATAGATTTGACTTATTGGAAAAACGTTTAAACAAAAATACAGATTTGAAAAATATGTATGTTAATTTTATGAATGAGTATATAGAATTAGGCCATATGTCTGAAACGGATTTTAACAATGATAACGGATATTTTTTACCGCATCATGCTGTGGTAAAACAGTCTAGTTTGACGACTAAATGTCGAGTAGTCTTTGATGGTTCTGCAAAATCAAGTTCAGGTCTGTCTATAAATGATGTGCAGTATATAGGTCCATCTCTTCAACAAGATATATTTTTAATTCTCCTAAGGTTTCGTCTACACAAGTATGTAATAAGCAGTGATATCTCAAAAATGTATCGTCAAGTTATGGTAGACGAAGATGATTGTCAATTTCAAAAAATTATTTGGCGTGCAGACTCACAGGAGGATTTAAAATGTTATAAGTTAAATACTGTTACATACGGTACCGCATCTGCGCCGTATCTGGCTGTTAAAAGTTTGATACAAGCTGCTGAAGATAATAAGCATGATTATCCATTAGCATCAAATATAATTAAGCGAGACTTCTATATGGACGATTTGCTTAGTTCCTCAGATTCAAAAGAGGAAATAATAAAGATACAAAAGGATGTTTCGAAAATTTTGAGTGATTCGGGGTTTGAGTTACGAAAATGGCTTTGCAATGATCCAAATATAGTTAAAGATTTTAACATTAATAATGATTTAGATGTTGCTGTACTCCCATTAGGTGAGCAAAACAAAATGTTAGGGATCTATTGGGATCCACAGAACGATTTTATACGGTATAAAATAAATATTGATTATTCTATTGAACCAGGTCAATGGAATAAACGTAGTATTCTGTCGGTAATTTGTCAGATATACGATCCATTGGGACTATTAGGTCCGATTGTAATAAATGCAAAGCTAATCATGCAAGATTTATGGAAAAGAAAATTTGGATGGGACCAAGAGTTACCGCCAGACTTTATTAAAATTTGGTTAGAATTTTACAGTAACTTAAATTCTTTGAATGCATTAAAAATACCACGTCATGCTAGTATATCAGGTTATATTAATATTGAATTACATGGTTTCAGTGACGCATCTACACGGGCTTATGGTTGTTGTATATATATAAGATGTTTAATGTCATCTGGATCTTACATATGTAATTTGTTATGTGCGAAATCACGGGTTGCACCATTGAAATTGTTAAGTCTTCCTAGATTGGAACTTTGTGCGACAGTTTTACTAGCTAATTTATTGAAAAGGGTTTCGGATTTTATATATATTCCAGTTAATGGTATTTATTGTTGGACTGACTCCACAATTTGTTTGAGTTGGATTAAAGGTGATCCTAGTAAATGGAAACAATTTGTTGCCAATCGAGTGCAAGAGATACAAAATTTGACTAGTATGAATTCCTGGAACCATGTTCGTTCAGAACACAATCCAGCTGATTTGTTGTCACGAGGATTCTCGGCAGACAATTTAAGGAATAATAACTTGTGGTGGTCTGGACCAGAATGGCTTCTTGAAGATAGTAAAGAATGGAATATTTTAAATCCTGAACCGTGCCAGAATGTACCGGAAGCAAAGGTTGTTTCTTGTATTGCTGTAAATAACTTTAATTTGGTTAACTATTTGTTAGAGCGTTTTTCTTCATTGAACAAATTTTTAAGGATTTTAGCATATATTTTACGATTTTCTAATAATTGTAAAGTTGAACTATCGAAGAGAAGGACTGGTATACTGACACCAGAAGAGATTGAAGCAGCTCTAACATTAGCAATCAATTCTGTTCAACAGGAATGTTTTCCCTTAGAATACAAGAATTTAATTAATAATAAAGAAATACCAAATAAAAGTAAAATCATAACATTGAATCCTTTTATTCATGAAAGGTTACTAAAGGTTGGTGGACGTTTAAGAAATAGTAATATTCCGTTTAACAGCAAACACCAAATTATTTTACCAAATAATCATGTTTTAACAAAAAGAATTCTATTAAATGAACATGAACGATTGCTTCATTGTGGTGTTCAACAATTAATTTTTTCATTAAGGCAAAAATATTGGCCTATTTCAGCTCGTAGCTGCTGTAAATATGTAATAAATAAATGTATAGCTTGTTTTAAAACTAAGCCAAAACCTTTAAATTATTTAATGGGTGATTTGCCCCAGAATAGGGTAAATAGTTTTTCAGTTTTTCAAAATGTAGGTACTGACTATGGTGGTCCGTTCCTTATCAAGGATCGAAAAACTAGAGGTGCTAAATTAATCAAGGCTTATATTTGCATTTTTATTTGTATGTGTACTAAGGCTGTACACATTGAGTTAGTGTCAGACCTTACCACTGATGCGTTTTTAGCGAGTTTCAAAAGATTTATTAGTAGAAGAGGAAGACCTTCTAATATTTACTCTGATAATGGTTCAAATTATATAGGCGCAAACAAGGAAATAAATGCTGTTTATGAGTTTTTAGAAAATTCATCTGACTCCATTTCTCAAAGTCTATTACATGAAAAAATAAAATGGCATTTTATACCTGCAAATTCTCCTACGTTTGGGGGTTTATGGGAAGCGGGAATAAAAAGTATCAAGTCTCATTTAAAAAGAGTAATGGGTTGTCGGTCTATGACTTTTGAAGAATTTAGTACATTGTTGCATCAGGTGGAAGGTATATTGAATTCTAGGCCACTTTGTCCTATTTCCGGCGATCCTGATGATAGCACTGCCTTAACGCCAGCACACTTTATAATTGGACGTACTTTAACTATGTTGCCAGAGTGTGATATTACTCATGTTCCTGAGAACCGTCTTGATAAATGGCAATCTATACAAGTAATGGTTCAACAGCTGTGGTCGAGATGGCAACTGGAATACTTGAACGAGCTACAAATGCGCCAGAAATGGAAATATAATTGCCACCAAATGTTAAAGCTAGGTTCTTTGGTGCTGATTAAAGACGACAGGACTCCTCCACTTCAATGGCCTCTTGGACGAGTGACAGAAATGCATCCAGGTCCAGATGGAGTTACTAGAGTTGTAACTGTTAAAGTGCGTGGTAGTGAAAACAAAAAGAGCACTCAATCGTATATGTGTTTTGCCAATAGACTGTTAATTTTAGTTGTTCAATTCATAATGTTTTGTATGTTAATTTCAATTTAAGTAATGAGAATTGACAATTTTTAACTGTATTGTTAACCATTTCTTTTAATTCATTAATCATTGTTTTTATTTTGTTAGTTATGTAGGTTTTGAAAGAAACTGCGTCCTTTCAAGGGGGCCGACATGTTTAGACATAAATTTTATTTTGTTAAGCTTAGGTACTTGTGTAGTAAAAGACAAGGCAAGCCTGTCATGATTGATGAACGGCTGTCAAATGATAATTTCGCTCTCTTGTCATGCAGCAATAAATAGGTAAACACGTCTCCCTAATTAATTAAAGTTTTTTATATTTGTAATAATAAATGGTACAAGCAGGAATATGGTAAATCATCAATGATTAGCCAGAAGTTCATACAATTGGCAAAAGGCAAAACAATTATTATACGATACATAGACCAAAAACACTACTAGAAACATTAAAACGAAACATTGGAGACAGAAAGTTGTAAAAATCCTAACTAAGGGAAGGAAACTAAATCATAAGAAGAATAAGTAGAGAAAAGTGATGGATTAAACAGAAACAAATGAGCATATTGTATAATGAACAAAACAATACTGATAAAGATGACAGGTGATATGAGATTGACAATAAAATTGTAGGTCTCCTTCAAAAAATACAAGAGTCCCCATCAGTATCAGTTACTAATAGTAAATAGGGAAAAAGCAATTAATTTGAATAATATAAGCATGGAATAAAAAGAAGAAATATTACGACCAGTTTTTCAATAGCACATGTTTTATATATCATATTCTATTGTAAGTAAATTTTTCATTAAATCAATTTTCTTATAAATTTTAGAGCTCGTGTAGAATGTCAGAATCATTGGTTTGTCTACAATGAAAATATAAGTGTAGAATCCTGTGCACAGGGTGTATCAAATTTGGCTATTCAGTTTGGAGATTCTGATGAAGATGGTGCAGCCATGTCTCGACCTTTTGGAGTAGCAATTTTGTTTGCTGGTATAGATGAAAAAGGACCTCAATTGTACCACATGGATCCGTCAGGTAAATATCTTTACAAGCTGCTTCTCAAGTGAGCATTTTAATACACAATACACCCAATGTTTTACTTTTAGTTTTTGAAGTAGCTATTGCGAATGATTTACTTTAGTTTAGTCCAGTCTGTACTTCAGTATGACTTAATATTTTGGGGTTGCTCATCTCATTTTGAATGGGCGTATATAGCTGAAAAGAAAGTTTTAAGAAGTATGTATGGTGTTCCATTTTCAGATAGCAAGCCACTATTTAAGAAGTCTAATATTTTAACACTACCTAGCCTTTTAATTTTCCAATTAATATTGCACATTGAGGAAAACAAGCTAAAGTTTGACAGAAATGAGGACGTTCACTCACATGATGATACTAGGGGTAAATCAAATTTTCGACAACCTTTCTCTAGATTAGGTGCATCCCAACCTGGTTTTTATTAACCAAGTATATTAATTTTTAATGGACAACACATGTCACACACGTCACACAGGCAAGCAGTTTGTCCGGGATGATAACTCCCAGCGCCACCTACGAAAGAAATGTAGACTGATCAATAATATTCTGAGGCGACCTGGTTGATAATGTGAAGTTATGAGAGGTCACAGTCTTAGAAACATTTAAAACAGGTCAATAAAGAAATCTGGATTACTGTAGCTACATAATTTGAATTAACATTTAAATTTGAATTTATTTATCTTATTGATACAGATATCTAACAATAAGTTTGCTGGTTATAAAAATCAAATAAATAAATAATAAACTAATAAAATAACCTACAATTAAGTATTTGATAATTGGATTCTTAGAAGTTATTGACATAACCTTAATAAATGGCAGAAACATGTGGCAAATGTTCCAAGAACTGTGTTTTTAAAGAACGGAATAAAGGTACAGGGGATGTTTTTGGTTACCCTTGTGACATTTGCAAAAATGTTTTATGCAAAAACTGCACTGGAATTAGCTCGACAGAGATAAGGTGTCTACTTCTGGCCACCCAAATTATGCCATATTTGTATTGTGACTTAGTGCCAGGAATCAAAAAGGCAGTTACACTAAAAAACCATGTAAAAGCATTAGTAGATACACTAAGTGAAATCAAAATTGCAAGCTGTCAACAAATGGAGGAGCTTGAAACAAATTCGTGAGGTAAACGAAGTCAAGAGTTTGAAAACCAGTTTTACTACCTCATTTGAAGTTATTAAGAGGGATCTTACCTTCATAAAAGATACCACCTCTACATCACATACAAAAAACGACAATAATTACAGTTCCACATTAGTGCATGGCAGTGTTTTGTATGAAGTGTCTGAGAGACAAAAGAGATCTTGCAATCTTATGATCTTTAATATGCCTCAAGATGGTGAGGAAGCTGACACCTCTAAAGCTAAGGAAGTGCTATCGGGCTTAGCTGGTTCTGATATAAAAATAGTCAGTTCAACTAGAATTGGTAAACGAAATAAAAATGGGTATCAATCACTGTGACTAACTCTAGAGTCACCTGAAATGGTTCGGTTGATATTGAGAAACAAGAGGGACATGGATAGAGGTTTAAAAGTATTCCTGGAAGCTGATTTAACTACTGAACAACGAGCTGAGGTCAATGCACTAAAAAATGAGTTAAAAGAAAGGCAGCATAAGGGTGAATCCGATCTCATTTTGAAATATGTTAATGGTGTGCCAAAGTTAATACGAAAAAACTAAACATATCTACCAGGTTCAAAGCCCCCCTCAGTCGAGACTTCAAAAGGACTGGTGTATTTTCAGAATGTCAAAGAGTTACGTACAAAACTTCAGCTACTGTTTGAAAATACTTCTTACTCACAATATGATATTTTAGTTTTTAATGAAATACGGTTAACAGATGACATAAAGAGCGTTGATCTGCAAATGTTACTACAACATATATAAAAGAGATATATCCCCAGTAACAAGTACCTTCAAAATAGGTGGAGGAGTGGTTATAGCTGTCTGGAAAACCATAACCAGTGTTCGTTTGTTAGCGACTCAAAGTATCGAACATCTGTTTGTCAAGATTGAGATTGACCACATTGACAAGTTTATCTTTGCAACTGCCTACTTTACACCACCTAGTATCATTGAGAACTATGCGGAATTTGCAGAAAATGTAGATAATCTAGCCGAAAAGTATCCAGAATATAAGTTTTGTATCCTTGGAGATTTTGACCTCCCCAATTGTCAGTGGTCCATTGATGGATTGTCTTCTGTGGCTACTCCATTACCAGGAACCTCACCAAATGAAGTCAATTCCATTCAATTCCTCTCATTTTATGTTCCTTTCATAATCTGTATTAAGTAAACACTGTTAAAAATGAAAACAACTCCTTATTAGATCTAGTCATGGTCCAAGACGAAGAGCTTGAGGTATCTAGAGCTGAGAGTGCCCTACTCCCAGAGGATAGGCATCATCCTCTACTCTCATTTGGGTTTAAATGTGAATCTCAATATTTCAATGAGTCAGGATTGAAATCATGAATGTGTTGCTTGTGTGAGTCCATTTCAAATAGGTAAAGAAATAATAAATAAGACTTACTCACAATCAATTTAATTTAATTATCAGACGACCGGTTTCGCTTTCTACAATATGCAAGGCATCCTCAGGTCTCGATACAAAGTTAAACAAATGCTGAAATAATAAAAACCCATATTAGGGTGTTGTCTAATAACGATAAACAAAGTAGATGTTGTAAATTACAATAATTATGCCAATATTACATGTCTGTGGTTTTATTTAAATGAGTAAGTTGAATTTTATTTTCAACTTATAAAGTTATTCAACTTTACTCAAATGAGTAAATTACCTTGCAATTGATGTGTTTGTTCCCTTGAAAAAGTATTCAGGAAAAAAGTTTCCTGTCTGGTTTTCTCTAGAGCTTAAAAAAACAATAATAAAAAAATGCATAAAAAATATCTAAAAGTTCAATTGCTCACTTGCTGACTGTAATGAGTTTTCTTTATTATGAGCTAACTGTAAATAACTGAAAGAACAATGCTGTCTTGATTATGTTGCTCTAACTGAATCCTCTTCTTGAAAAATAATGTTTTCTGGCAATTTGTTAACAGTAGAAAAAAACAGGAATAATATTTCTTTTGTTATGCACTATAATAATATTTCTGGCTCTTCTGGCATGGAGATTGTCAATTTATTTGCTGAATACTTTTCCAAAACTTATAGTGATAAAGAGTTTAATTTGCAGGATTAAACCTTTTTAAGAGGAGAAATCAACCTATCACCATTTAGCATTTCTGTTTCGTCTATATATGAAAAACTTTGGATAGCAACAAGGGGCCAGGTCCAGATGGTCTTCCACCTTCTTTTCTTAAACACTTTAGCTTTTTACTTTCTAGACCTCTTCTTCACATTTATAACCTATCATTGAAGACAGGGATGTTCCCGGTCTACTGGAAAACTAGCTTTATTGCCCCAATACTAAAATCTGGAGATAATTCTCAAGTGAACAATTATCGGCCTATTAGCATTCTAAGTTGTATTCCCAAAGTTTTTCAGAGCCTTGTCTGTGACTATTTGTCAGCAACTTTAAAAGGCTGTTTTATCGACCAGCAATTTGGATTTCTCTCTAGCTGCTCCACTGAACTTAATTTATTGACATTTACTGATTTCCTTTGGATGGCTTTCAGGTTCATGCTTTATACCGGGTATATAAAACATAACTTCTCTCCAAATCTGACGCATGCACAAGGATCTGTACAAGGATCTGCATCTGGATACTGCACTCTATTATTTTTGGTGAACTATTGGAAAAAATTAATCTCCATGTTCCCAGTAGACAAACAAGGCTAAATCAACCCAAGTATGTTAGACCCCATCGCACAAACTAAAGACTCAATTCATTCGCATCTGGAACACCAAGGTTTGCTAATCATTATTCCCAAAGGTTGGATTGTTATAGTATTCCAAAAGAATATAAAGCTCAGCTTACTAAGAACTGTGTGTGATAGCTTGATGTCCTTGTGTTTTGTACTTTCTTTGTTAATATTTGTTATTTACTGTTCCAACTTTTATTTTTGTATGATTAAAATTTATAAATTTAATTTAAGTAGGTTACGTTAAGAATCAACTGTAATTTATCAATAATGTTTACATTGTATTTTAATTGGGCGATTGCCCGTTGATAAATAAATAAATAAACAGTGGCTGTATAACACTACAAAAAACTGATCACGCAATAAAAGAATATCAGAAGTAAAGAGCATGATAGAGGAATATTTTGATTGAATATTTTTCGGTAATAAATAGAAAATAAGTTATGAAGACGACAGAAGACAGAAGTATATCTAATATTAAATATTTTATTAATTATTTAATGACTGTTGGTTCTCTAGTCCTTACTGTTGATATCAATACCACAATTGACTGTTTTATTATTTTTTGTATGTTAATTAAAATTTTGGTTTGAATTACAGGAACATTCGTTCAGTTTGATGCAAAGGCAATAGGATCAGGATCCGAGGGGGCACAGCAAAGTTTACAGGAGGCATATCATCGCAGTATGACCCTGGAAGAAGCTACCACAACTGCTTTAACAATTCTAAAACAAGTTATGGAAGAAAAGTTGAATTCTTCAAATGTTGAGGTTATGACTATGACTCCAAAAGATATGTTTCACATGTTCACAAAGGAACAAGTGGAAGAGGTAATTGCTAAATTGTCTTAACTTAGGAACTAAGCTAAACTTTGAAAAGGGTTAATTTTATATAAGTTTTTTTCTTTATAAATACAAATAAAAAAATAATAATGGTGGTGTTTTCAGTAAATACCTTTTCCTGCTCCTTTGTCCATTACAAACGTCCAGGTATTTAATTTCGTTAAAAACTTTATTGAATATGTCGTCGGCTTAATCAGAATAACTCTTAAGTCAACATTTACAGGAAATCTGCTTCTAAGTTCCATCTTGTGGCGAACCAAGTAACCTACAGTTCAAGAAAATACCGTAACTGGAGAATTATTCCGTAATTTATTCATAGATTATTATTATTCATGTAATATTATTCCTGAAATTAAATTTTCCATAAATCCGCAGTGGCGTACTATCAAAACGTCATACATCCAAGTTTAAAACGCCATTATAATGAAGAATTAAACGTGGCAGTAGGTCTTCAGTTTTTAACTATTAGTTTTAAGTAATCTATTTACAAAATGCTAGGAAATGGCATGGTAGATAGATTAAAAATGTGACGTTTTTAATTTGTTGGAGGACTTAGGGGGTTTTCTAATGTCATACATTAACATAAACACAAAACTCGAGTGAGTTATTTGTTTTTCAGTACTAATAAAAGATATTTATAATTTATTAATAAAAATCGCGAAATTTTGCATGTTATCATTAATTGATGGTGAAAAGTATTTTGACGTAAGATTAGTATTAAATTTGGCTAAATATCAGTGACCTAGAAGACTACAGAACTAAATGTGATCTAGTTTTTCTCTATAAACTACTTGACCATAGCAGTAACTGTTCTGATTTATTAAGTCTTATCAACTGTAGATGTCGAGTACTTGAATTCTTAGAGACATGCCTTTGTTTTCTATAAAACACTATTACAAACTATATATTATTAGAATTCAGATACTCGGAAATGACTTTAATCAATTTTATGATCTAGTGGATTTAAAATTTAATTTAAGCTGTAAGATTTAAGCACTGTTTGCCTGAGTATGTTAGGGATCCAAGATGAGTGTCCTTTAATTTGAAGTATTAATTTTAATTTTCAAAAAGATGTAATCATTTGTTTAGCATTATTTAAAACTTACTTTAAGTATTTTGGATAAGGTTAGGATATTCTATTTTTGTTAATATGGTGTGGTATTATCCCTAAAATATTATATTTCATATAAAGAATAAGTTGAAAAGAGAAAGTGTAACTTAGTTTCGCATTTTGTTTATATAAAATATGTTTAATAATTTGAATCTAGGACATTCATAAATAGACTCGAATTAGAATTTGTAAGTCAGCACTACTGCCAATCAAGACATACGGTTGTCGTAGGTCGTTAAACAAACTTGACACACTAAGAAATAAACTGATATATGCAAGGTCTATTATAAAAGAGACAACAATCATTATCTCGGGGATCAAAACTAATTTAACGTCAAGATGGCAAGTTAATGTATCGCGTATTGATAATTATAAGGGAGTCTTATATCAATTTCACATGAGTACGAACTACGATTAGAATAAGTAATGTTATGTAAAAGTGTACTGTTTTGTTCCAAATAAATGGTCATTTAATTTAACAACCACGTTATTTACCGTTACGAGGTTATTTACCATAATGGGGACATCTCGTGATTAAATAAGTAAATAGCTTTTTTGAGAAAACAGAAGGCACAAGGTAAAAATGACGAATATCAACGAGAAGACGGCATGGAAATTCTGAAAATTCCAAACGAAGGAGCTGAAAAATCTTCGTTATAAAGGTATGAAAGATAAGCTGAAATGAAATAAATAAATTTCCTAAACTGGAATCATACTATTGCCGTGCTTCATCAACAAAACTCTATTTGGAACCAAATAGACAATTGAACTCTTCGGTATACAACTTTTATCAAAAATTGTGTCTAGAGAAAAACAACCCATTTTTATCTATTGTTTCATCTTGCTATGCATTTGAGGATTTGAACTTAACTGTTTTCCATACTAAAAAAATGAGTGTGATAAGTATGTGGAATATAGAACCGGTAATTTATCAGAAGAAATATTTAATCTACATTAAACAAAAAAAAAAGAGGAAGATAAAAAGGAAAACATTAATGCCAAAAATCTATAAATAAAGTTTACTGTATGGATTTACAGTCACCAAAGTCTAATATTTCAGGACCACACTTTAGTTCATAATTTGTCACGTTCTTTGATTTACACAGTCAAGACGGATTTTGTTATACATTATGGGTGTAGCATAAGTCATATAATGGTGTTATATCAAATAATTATGCTTCAATTATTGTTACTTTATAAAAGAAATTGGCCAAAAAGATTTACAACCTGGACAAAACTTAAAACTATTTATTTTTCAACAGCGGGGGAGAAAATAGAATGTTAGGCACAGGCTTTGTGGTAAATAAAAAGCTGAATGATCTAATCGTTGACTTCAAACCAATTTCAGAGAGAATATGTGTATTAAGAATAAGAGGAAAATACCAAAAAATAACATTTATAAATATACATGCACTGACTGAAGACAAAAGTATAGAAATAAAGACTTTTATAATCAAATAGATACAGTATTCGAAAATATCCCCAAATACGATGTAAAAATAGTGCCAGGTGATAGTAATGCAAAAATAGGAAAAGAAGAAATATATGTACCTACCCACCATAGGAAAATACAGCTTGCATGAAACAACGAACGAAAATGGTCACTTCCTAATTGATTTCGAGAAAGAAAGAAATTTGATCATTATGAGCACGTACTTCCAACAAAAAAGAATACACCAAGGAACGTATAGATCACCGGATGGGAAAACCATAAACCAAATTGATCATGTGCTTGTCGAAAAATATATGCAAAAATGTATAAAGAACATACAGAGGTCCAGATGCAGACTCAGATCACTTTATAGTTGGAATACAAATGAAACAACTTATTCCAGTGCTTAGAAACAAGAGGAAGAAAAATTATAAAGCAACCAAACCTGTGAGACTACTGACAGAAGAGGAACAAAATAAATATGAAAGAATAGTCAGTAGAGGATTAGATAATATTGTAGAAAGTGGGGATATTGAACAAACATGGATGCAAATAAAAGTATGTATGACCAAAGCAGCTCAGGCCTGTAATGGAAATATAAAACACGAATACAAAGAATGGTTCAACGATGAATGTAAAATGGAACTAGATGAACGAAATAAATTAAGAATGAAAATTTATGCAAGAAAAAACAACAGAGATTGAGAGAAAATACAATGAACAAAGGAAAAGAGCCAAAAGAATAATAAGATCAAAGAAAAGAAAATACAATGAAGATAAATTAAAATGTATAGAACAGAGCTATAGAAATAGAGAAATTAGAAACTTATATCAAGGGGTGAAAAATGAGAAAAAGGGGTACCAAGGAAAACCTGTACACTACAAAAACAAAAGTAGAAGAAATTTAGTAAGTGACGAAGAAATACTGAGCAGATGGAAAGAATACTTTGAAGAACTTTTAAATGAAATTCCAACAACAGAATATGAAGAGGAAGAAGAAGTGAAGGAAAATTTCGATCAAGAACGAATAGAGGAAAGACCGCCTAACAAAAAAGAAATAATAGAGAAACTAAAGAATAATAAGAGCCCAGGAAGAGATGAAGTAACAGCTGAAATGTTTAAATATGGAGGACCAGTACTAATTAAGCATTTGGAAAAGTTGCTAAAAGACATATGGGAACAAGAAAAATTACCGAAGGAATGGACCGAAGCGACACTGTGCCCTTTTCACAAAAAAGGCGACAAAAGTTTATGCCACAATTACAGGGGAATAGCCCTACTAAATGTTGCATATAAAATACTTGCAATATATATAAAAGATAAACTATCTCAAAATATAGATAATGACATAGGGGAATATCAATGTGGATTCAGAAGAGGGCGCAGCACAGTGGATCAAATTTTCCTACTCCGCGAAATACAGGCAGAAAGCTACGAATATGGGAAACCTACAATGGCCCTATTCATCGACTTTAAACAAGCGTTCGATAGGATAAAACGCAAAGAAATATACAAAGCACTACGTGAAATGAGAATTAGTGAAAAACTGATAAGAATCGTAAAAGTGACACTACGAAGAACAGAGAATAGGGTTAAAATAAATTTCGAAGAAACAGATAAGTTTGAGGTCAGTGAGGGGGTGCGACAAGGAGACCCACTGTCATCGCTGTTGTTCAGTATCGTCCTCGAAGTTACCATCAGAGAAGCTGGAATCAACAGGTCAGGACTTATATATCAAAGAAAACACCAATGCTTAGCATTCGCTGACGACATTGTACTGATAGCCAGAAGTACGCAAGAATTAAAAGAAATAACAAAAAGATTAGAAATGAAAGCGAGAAAGAAAGGGATGTACATAAATGAAGAAAATACCAAATATATGGAATGAACAGAAAGAGATTACCTACAAGAACAATATCTGACAGTAATAACAGATGAAAAAACATATAAATTCGAAGAAGTAGAAATATTCCAGTATTTAGGAGCGACATTCACGCGAAGACCAAATATGAAGGAAGAAATCCAAGCGAGAATTGTGGCCGGTAACCGTTGTATTTTTGCCCTAAACAATTTATTAAGAAGCAAAAACATATCTAGAAGGGCTAAGATAAGAATATATAAAACAGTAATAAGACCTACTGTATTATATGCCAGTGAAACATGGACAATGAACAAATCCGAGCAAGTCCTGCTGCAAGTCTGGGAAAGAAAAGTCCTCAGGAAAATATTTGGAGGTAACATATGGAATGGTATATGGATAAAAAGACCAAATATGGAATTAGATGAGATGTATGGAGAACCGAATATCGTAGGGATCATAAAGTCACAAAGACTGAGATGGTTGGGACACATCCAAAGGATGGGAAACACGAGACTGTCAAAAAGAATGCTAATGGGATGAATAGGAGGGAAAAAGAAAAAAGGCAGACCGAAAACCAGGTGGAAGAAGGATGTTGAAAAAGACATAGAAAAACTTAAAATACCAAACTGGAAAAATAAAGCAACAAACAGAAAAGAATGGAAAAGAATAGTAAACCAAGCCATGGG